CATCATCATCATCATCATCATCATCATCATCATCATCATCATCATCATCATCATCATCATCATCATCACCGTCATCATCATCATCATCATCATCATCATCCGAATCAGAATGTGGAGGAAGAAGGAAAGCGAAAAGAGGACACCGACAAACAGTACAGAATGTAGAGTAACATTTTCAACAGTATCAGATTGTTGGACTTTAGACTTTGTATCAATATTTGCATGGCAACGACTCGTGGTGTGATGCTACAGGAACCTGGGTAAAAGTGCTTCGGAGCTGTTGTAGCTGTCGACCAGAGCATAGCAGCCTTTGCTGCTGCCTACTGCGACTCTGAGAACTCGTACCGAGACATGATCCGTCTTGCCACGGCGAGCAAAAAGGCATTCTTGAAGATCATCTGAAGCAATCGGTGCTACAAAAAGGACTGCCAACGCATGGCGCAGAATGAAGTGAGTGCTCGAAAGCTGAAAAGTTTGCCAGTTGACTAGTCAGAATGACCACAATTTGGCTGGAAAGAAATTAATCTTGATGTGAAGTCTTCCATTTCGCGTCAAAGTGCATTATGAAGGGATTCATAGGCCGATCTCATCAGAAAGAACAGCCAATTTTTGTTATACTACAGCCGTTTGGCTCTGACATGACGTTCCATGTGATGCAAACGACGAGCAACTTCTCTCTCAGTTTGGGCGAAAACTAGCTGACCTCTCGCTCGTCAAATGACGAAAATCATCAGAGCTGGGACTCATTCTTGCAGAACTCTCATGTCTTCTTGACATGGCCCATCTTTACCCGAAGCAAGGGAGGATGTCTGCTCGACTCTGTCAAATTGAAGGTCGAATTAAAGCCAAACGGTTGCAATACGACGCGAATCGGCCGTCGTCTTCTGGTGAGATCCACATTCGAGTCCCTTCATCATGCACCTTCAAACAAAATGTAAGTGTCCCTCCTTGAGATTCATTGAAACCCACTTTTCCTGTAGCATGTCTTGTCGGTTGAATGATCTTGAGCTCTGATCAGTACCACGGAAAAACCGGGAAACGAAGCAAGAATGACACATTTTCGTCTTATGCAGGCTTCGCGACTACCGGCACACCTTGCACACGAACTCACGCTGCCAGTGGATTTCACACAACCCTGCTTCCCAAAGACTATTCTCCTCCAGGCAGGGGTAGACCTCGTCTGAACTGGTCTTATCACCACCTTCAGTGGGACTCGAGCCCGGTTTGCGCTAGTGCAGCGTATAGTCTTGCCACGAGTGCCATTGGGTTGGAGGAAAGAAGAAAGTGCCACTTTCTGCGGTGGGAGCTATGAAATAAGCAAAGCTGTATTCGCCATTAAACTAGACTGCACTACTCGCTTTCAGTTTATAAGTAGGTCGTCGAGACGACCGGTACATGTTGCAGGAGATGTGCATTCATTACAGCTCGCAGCTAGCGTCAACCGAGGATGAGGATATCTTGCAATAAGTAAGACTAAGCGAAAGTAAATGGCTGGATAGACTTTTATTTAATACAAAAGTGCACGCAGAAGAGATTCGAAGGTCGCGCTCACCAGAAAACGGTGACTGATTCCCGTTGAACGACGTACACGTTGGCACACTCCATGAAACGTCCATCTTCGTTTCGAGATTAACTGGAAACCGTCATCACCTAATGCTTTTATACAACTTTAACCCTTTTTCAATATATATATATATACTTATTTATTTATTTATTTATTTATTTATACTCCTAAAATAACTTGACTAATGACTGCAATC